GGAGAAAGAGAAGGGGAGGAGGGAAAGCACTTGCAACTAGGAAGATTGAGTCAGTGTAGGAATAGAAGACAGGAGAGAGAGAGAGAGAGAGAGAGAGAGAGAGAGAGAGAGAGAGAGAGAGAGAATGAACATAAAAGAGGGAGCCATTATTGGTTTGAAGAGAAAACTGAACCTAAGGAAAGGTCTAGAGACTTAGAAGCCTACTGCTAACTAACAACTTGAGCAACCATGCAAAGGCTACCATAAATGCCCTTTCCAGATAGTGAGATCAACAACTAATTATCCACCACCATGGAGCCCTCATATATTACCTCTTGGAAACAGAAGCAAATGCCCATAACTAAACACTGAGTCGAACTAGAATCCAGATGCAGAGGGATAGATAGGACAAGACCCGGTCACAGAAACACATACAGACAGCTGACCTGAAAAAGGAGGAGCTAACAGGCCCCCAGACTGATAGCTGGGAATCCAGCATGGGGCTGACTCAGGCCCCCCTGAATATGGGTCTCAGCTAGAAGGACTGAGCATTCTAAGGGACCCCAGACAGTGGAACCTGGATGTATTCCTGGTGCACAAAAGGGCCTTGCGGGCACCTCCCCCATGGAGGGATATTGCCTTAACCTAGAGACCAGAGAGAAATTCTAGTCCCAACTTCAAATGACTTGACAGATTTACATGACCCCACCTGGTTGGCATTGCCCTACATGTGGAATTGGGGGGGGGATGGGAGGAGAGGGTGGTCAGTGTACATGTGAGGGGACAGAGAATGTAAGAGGGAGGGAGGGAGAGGGAACTGGGATCGACATGTAAAATAAAAAATAAATAATTAAAAAATATTTGAAACAGGACAGCAGATGAAAGGAATAGAAGTTTTTCTCTAAACAATAATAAAACATGCTTGTAAAGGCCAAGAATAAAAAAAAAAAGAAAGAAAAAAAACAGAGTAACTGGGTGTGGTGGCACACACCTTTAATTCCAGTACTCAGGAGACAGAGGGAAACAGATCTCTTTGATTGCAAAGCAAATCTGGTATACAAAGTTAATTAGAGAACAGATAAAAGTTACACAGAGAAACTCTGCCTCAAAAAAAAAAAAATAGAAATAGAGTAATAAAAAATCCACATAAATATGGAAAGCACAGAGGAACTTTGGATACTATACGATGTTCTGTGATCTTTAAGTTGTTTGACTGCTGAGGAAATAACAACTGTTAAAAGAAATACTGCTGGATTAACTCAATTTATGCATTTTATAAATCCAGTTCATACCAGATCTATCCGGCTCAGACTGGTTAGATCTGGTTCAAACCAGTTAAGACCCCCTCAGACCGGTTCTATCCCGTTCAAACCACTTCTGACTGGTTTAGCCAGGTTCAAACCAATTCGATCAGGCTCAGACCGGTTCTATCCATGTCTGATCAGATCAAACTGGGTGTACCCCGTTCAGACCGGTTTAGACCGGTTCTGTCCAGTTCAGAACTGGTTGATACTGTTTAAGCCGGTTCAGACTGGTTCGATCCGGTTCTGACTACTTCAAACCAGATCAAACTGGGTCTATCTCGTTCAGACCTGTTTGATCCGGTTCAGACTGGCTTGATCCATTTCATACCGGTTATATCCAGTTCAGTCCAGTTTTATCCTGTTTAAGCCAGTTCAATCAGGTTCTGATTGTTTTAATCACTATAGATTTGCATTCTGTTGAATTTAAGTTTTATTACATCATGTTCAGACAGATACACTGACATATTTCAAATTTTATGACACAATAGTTCATTTTACAAATCAACAAATTAAGCCAGAGAAATAAATGATATACTGAGGCCCACATACAAATCAGTAAAGCACCAAATGTATTTCCCAGATGCCTGCATTTCCTTAAGCACACCATTTTTCTTTACTAATTAAATATGTTATTCTACATGTTAGCATCCACAGGTTAAAATACCAAAATCTATTTAATATAATAAGCTCCCTTTTCATGCTAATCTATTAATGTACAATAGTCTTAACTCCTTTTTAGGGGTAAAGTAGGATAGACATAGATAAAAAATCAATGCAATTACAGGTAGAGAATATTTGAATATTAGTCTAAAGGTCTTTAGTGTAGAAGTCAGTGTCTCATATAGAGCATCCTTGGAAGATTAGTTTCACCCACAGCAAGTGGACACCAGTGTCACAATGAGTCATGCCATGCCTAGTACTTTTGGAGCCCATCACCATCCTCACAACCTCAGGTCTCCCAGGCAGAAAATTACTGCCTTTTAAAGAAATAAACAGAATGTTCAGCAGAACATTCCAAGGTACAGGCTTGAGGCCTCACAGCCAGTTAAAGAATAGTTCAGGGCTCTCTCTCCTGGTGCAGTTTAACAGCCAGCTAAAGAGTAGCTAACCAGTTCAGGGCTATCTCTCCTGCTGCAATTTGCAGCCAATTACAGGTTAGCTAAACAATTCAGGGCATTCCTTGTACTGACCTTCTCACTCTGCCTATGTGCCAGTGCCCATGCCCTGGCTATGCTCAAACCCTGCTCACATCCTGCCCATGGTCCTATATAAGCCTCCTCTGAGAAAATAAAATTTATCAGCTTGAAAAAAATGCTTTGACTTCAAAATTTAAGTCTAAGGGCATGTTACTGGGGAAAAGGATTTCTAATTTTGTTTCCATAAAAAAAATGGTAAGCTGAGGATTCCTTCTAGACTAATATGGTTTGATCAAGCAAGACACCCTGAAACAGAGTCCCAGGTGATCCAACATTCAAAACAGTTGGGACAAGGCAACCTTACAGATTAAAGCCAGGATTTCTGTGTCTCTTTTGGATCCCCCATGGCAGCTCCCCCTACCAGCAGGAAGCAGTTTGGATAGAACGACGCCCAAATTCCCAAATATTGTTTTAAATGTTTGTTGTCATTTAAATGGGCTTGGTTATAAATGGCTAATGATCACAAACAATTCTTTTAAAGGTAAAAAGAAGATTATGGTATAGAGATGAATACTTTTGTTTTAAACTGGATTTTCATTTATTGATACAATTTACGGTCAATTTTGTGATGCATATATTTCTCCTCTTGTTTAGGTATTGTGTTTACATAGCTCATTTAAAAATGTAATGTATAATTTAATATAGATTATAGATAGTTACCTATGATACTCAAAACTTAGAGTTAAGTTAGTTAGGTTTTCAAGATACACAGAGATGTATTTGAGATGGATAGGCATTCTTCAAACCTTTCAAAGAAGACCTACAGAATGTGGCATTTAAAATGGTTTAGGGTTTTTCTTAACAGTGAGGCACAACTGCTCCTGGCAACACCACCTACATCAGAAAGGAAGATGGACCTTGAAGAAACATGTTGTGGAATTTTCTTTCAATATGGCAAGACTAGCCATTTGGGAAAGGTACTGCTCTTATCTGGACTGTTTGACTTTATGCTGTATAAACTGGACATGCAGGATCCACAGGAAAGTGACTGCTGATACCAGATGGACATTGCTACAGGGTTCCTGCTTCATAGAAGAGTCTGCCAGACAATCTACAGGACACAGAGAAAAGTGACTGATAAACTGCCAATACAAATGGACAGTTTAAAGTTTCCTGCTTTGCTGAGGACTCTACCAGACACACTATGACCTATGGGCTTAAGATGGAACATTACAGAAGAACTTCATGTGAATGACCAGGTGGCGAGTTGTCTCTGTCATTTCTAGAGTTTATATATTATCCTTCTGTGGTCTTTGAAGGAGTTGAAAACAGATAGTTATGGTTATAGTTTTCTTTAGTTAGGATTAAAGATAAGTTACATACAGGACTTCAGACTCACAAAGATAGGATAGATGTTGAAATATTTTCTTTAAATCTTGCTAAATGTTAATGGACTAAATATTGTTAACTGTGGTTCTTATTTGATAACTGTTTTGTTATACATTTTGCTATTTGCTACGGTAAGGTTAAAACCCTTCTTTTTATTTTAGACAGAAAAGAGAAGATGATGGGAGATGTCATTCTGGAAATATTTTTCTCTTATTGGTTAATGAATAAAGCACTGTTGGCCAATAGCAAAGCAAGATAGGTGGGACTAGGAGACTAGGAGGAGAGAGGAAGTGGGAGGGAGGAGATCCAAGATGGAGGATAGAGAGAAGAATGCCAGCCCCTCTCTCCGGTAAGATAAGACCACATGTAAATATTTAGATTAATGGAAATGGGTTAATAAAGGCTAGCTGATAAGAAACAAGTAACTAGCCTACAGCTTTATATCTAAAAAAAAAGGAAGAAAGAAAAGAAACAAATAGCCTCCAGAGAAATTAGTCTCTGTACCTATAATCTGCAATTGCTATGCCTTACATATGCAGTGGTGGCTAATCTAACAATTTGCCTACCTAGTTATCTCCTCTATAAGTACATGTGCAGAGCTTATAAGTACATGTGCAGAGCTTTCATTATGTCCTTTTTCATACTGTTCATACTTTTTAGCATAATGTCTTGTGTACCACAACTTGGTAAATGTTAATTTGAATATTTGGTTCAGAAGTAATAAGTATTGTGACCTATAAGAACTTTATCATCAACATAACAGTTACATCACATTAACAATACACATGAGGTATTCTGTAATTAAAAAACATTGATAGGCAAGCAAATAGTCACAAATTAAAAAAGAAAAAAAGGATGAAAAGGAGAAGGTAGAGGAAAGAAAGACATAACTTACTTGAAAAGCCCACATTCCCTATTGAGTGAAGCTCTTGGTCTAAAATTTTATCTTCCTATCAATCTAAAAAAGAAAAGAAGGAAGCAAGGAAAGAAGCAGAGTGAAAGGGAGGAAGGAAAGAAGAAAGGCAAATAGGAGATGGAGAGGGGAAATGAGGGAGGAAAGAAAGGAAGTTGGCAGGGAATGAGGAAAGGAAATGGAAGAGAGAAAAGGAAGGAAGGAGTGGGGAATGAGCGAGGGGAGGCAGCAAGGAGGGAGGGAAGGAAGAAAAGGAAAGAAGTAAAGAACATTTCTTACCTTTCTTCTTTGGTAAGCCGTGTCAGTTTTCTAGCTTTGTGAGAAAGAATAAAGCTAAAAACACAAACAAGACAAAGTGGCCAATTTAATACTTTCTTTCATTTAAACTTCCTTTCTATAGTTACACATGTCTTGTGCACTGTACAGAACAAACCATCTATATATTAACAATGTTCATAGTGTCCATTTCTACATTGCATTCATAACACCAAGGAACACTTTCTGGCTTTGGGGGATTAAGGAACCAAAAGTAAATGATGGGTCATGCTTTCTGCCTAAGGTAATATGATGACTGATGCAATGCCCTCCAGCAGGCTGGCAACCAAAATGAAAGGACTTGGACCTCAAATCCTAATTTAAGGCAGTGTCTGAGCTAACCAGTCCTTCCTTGCCCCTTGGTTCTGTCTCAAGCATGAAGCCTCTGTTACCCCTCACCTTTTAGATGCCATCTCATTTCCATTTCAACTACTGCTTTCTGCTTAACTACTTCCTCTACCCTCCCTGTTATTGACTTGGCTTTCTGTTGGCCATCCACTACTGGCCCCCAAACACTCTTCAGCTATGCCAATCTTCCCTGGCAAGTTGAAGATGGGGCTAGCCTCTACTTCCTTGTATGGGACTCAGAAAAATCTCAATAACCCACATAAGTAACATTTATTGTTATTTAGAGTGGTCATCACCCAAACTCGTGATGAAATTCCATTTACAATATAGTAGCATTTGGAAGTGCTAAGACCTTTTATAACATTTTGAGTTGTGAGGAGTTTCAGATATTAGTATGGTTTCCATGACAATGAATTTTGCTTCTTATGATTGTGGGCTATTTTATATAGCAAATTTGGCTTCTCTGTTGTTTCCTTGCTATGTGATTTTGTGACAAATATTTGCTCCCTTCCACTTTTTTTATGCCTTGTATAGAGTAGTACAAGATCCTCATCAGAAGTCTAGAAAATATTGATTCTATTCTTTTGGACCTCTAAAACTAATACCTACAATGACCCCCTTTTCTTCCTAAGTTACCCAGTCTTAAGAAATTTGTCATAGCAACAGAAAACATAGTAAACAACATGGATACCCACATAGTCTCCTTAAGAACTACTTTGTAAAACACTCCTCTTAGTAAAGCACTGAAGTTATATCAGTCTATCATGTAAAGATGTTCCCAAATATATCTATTAATGCATTAAATATGAAATACAAAATTGATATAACAAAATTTAAATGTATTGTTATTTGACATATAGATATTTATTAATTAAAAAGAAGCAATAATAATACTTCTATCACTGTATTTGAAGATTAGTTACTATCAAGTAAAAATTGTGCATCACCATCCCTGTGGAGTGGGGGGAAGAATAGAATGGGAGGGTTGTTGGGGGGCATGGAAGGAAGAGAGGGAAGGTGGAAGGGAGGAAGGGAGGTAGGGAGGTAGGGAGAGGGAATGGGGATCGAAAAATTAAATTTGTCTATTTTTTAAAATTGTTTTTAACAAAGTTTTGTATTTCTTAATCAATAGTAATTTATCATCTTGTCAATAACAAATACAGCTACAGTATTATAATTGTGCCTTACCCTATTATAGCGGCATAAGTACCATCTGGTTTGGTGTCATCCAATGTGTACCCGATTGGAGCTTCCTCTCCTTCAATAACCATGGTTCCACAGAAATCTTAGAAAATAGTGAAGTTAATGAACATGTCCATTACACTGTCATTTCACTCAGAGGAAATGCAATTAAATACACAAATTTGGAGATCAAACATAACAAACACATCATACTCTAATTAAAATGATGTCATGGAGAGGGCTAGGTAATCTAGGTTCTAAGAAAAAATTCAGAGTAAGTCCAGACATTGTAACACAGTTTGCAGTCCTGCCTGGCATGCATAGAGCCTTGGGTTTGTTCCCCAGTATTGCACAAACTGGGTGTGATGATGCATACCTGTAAGCCTGAGAGGTAGAGGCAGGAACCTCAGCTACATAGTGATTTTGAGACTAATTATGTAAATACACTGTCTTGGATGAAAAGAACAACATCAAAGTGGTCAATGGAAACTGAAATACAAGGGACTGTATGCCTTATGAGCTGACATGACTTCATGATGAATCACTCCTCTTCCTACTTTTCTTTTAGAGGTGGGGTCTCACTATATTGTTCAAGCCAGCCATTAAATCTGGTCTCATGCAGCCTTCCTTATCTCAGCCTTTTGAGTAGCTGAGACTACAGATGTGTGCTGTTGTGTCTGGTCACTTAATGCCAGTTGAAGCAGCCTTCAACTTGTAGAACACAGGGTAGAGAGAACATTGGAAACAAAAATGAACCCCAGAGTCCCATTTCAAAACTGACTTTTTAGGAGCAGCAACTAGGGGAAGAATTTCAATTCATTCTGAATAAAAGTAATCTCTTCATCACCATCTGAAGCAAAATACATTTGGTCCTCAGTATCTATGGGTTCTATACCTGTCAATTCAAACTCACTATCAAAAAAGGGCAGGCATAGTGGTACACATATGTAATCCAAGCATGTTCTAGATAGTAACAGGAGAATCTCTGTGAGTTCAAGACTAGCTAGCTTGTCTACATAGTGAGCTCTAGGACAGCCTGGGCTACATAAAGAGATCTTGCCTCAAAGAACCAAAATTAATTGTTTAATTATATCTGTATTAACTGAATATATACAATTTTTTCTTTTTATACAGTGTTTATATTGTATAATGTTTGTATTGTTTATACATATGCATATATATATTATGCACACATGCATAATATACACGTATAGATGGTATAATAGCTATTACATGGTAACACATTATATTAAGTATTTTAAATAGATATTATTTAGAGTATATTTAAAAATATGTGGTAGGGAGTTAGGAAAGATCTGGAAAGAGTAGTGAAAGAATATGATCAAAATACAGTGCATTAAAAATAATGAAATTTGCAGTGTGTTGGTGGCGCACACCTTTAATCCCAGTACTCGGGAGGCAGAGGCAGGTGGATCTCTGTGAGTTTGAGTCCAGCCTGGTCTATAGAGCTAGTTCCAGCACAGGCTCCAAAGCAATGTAGAGAAACCCTATCTCAACCCTCCCCCAATTAATGAAATTCTAGCTAACTACATCAAACAAACAAACAAATAAACCAGCATATAGTCCTTGTCCTAAATGCTATCTATCTGACACGAGCCAACTACCTAGAATTCATGACCTGAGACCCATGTGGAAGAAATTCAGCCTCATTATGCTATTGTCATTGGATTCAAAGGGCAAAGGTACAGAGCTCTTAGAGATGAATCTTTTGCATAGGGTGAAATGCTTGCTTAGTGGATGTTCCAATCCAATAAGATCACTAAGCAGGATTACTTACAGGATGGGGAGTTAAGAGACTGAGGTATGGCTGAGACTGGAGGATCATAATGTTTCTGTCCAATATTCTAATACAAGTAGTTATATCCAAATATGTACTATGATACAAAGTTTCTTGGACCATCTCTGGTTAGTCTTTATGTCAAGAATGCACTTACTTTTTTTCCTCCAGAAGGGCTCTTTATAATAAACTATGCACTTAATGACTGAACCCAAAGGCACACGAGTGATCAGCTGGTTTCTTAGCATCGGCAGGGGTGGACTATAGTGAATCTTCATGCCCAGAACAGGTGGAATGGCACTAATCACATACTTAGCCTGAAAGAAAAGTAAACATGGTTAAATACCATTGGCCTGCTGCAAAAGTTTTTCTTAATACTATCTCTCTCTCCCACTCTGTATGTGTGTGTGTTGTATTTGTGTGTGTGTGTGTGTGTGTGTGTGTGTGTATGTGTGTGCATGTCTACCCTTACTCCCTTTACATCCCTTAACAGTGAAATCAGGACCCTGTTAGAAACTAAAGTAACCTTTACTCATCATCCCTAGTTCTAAACCTCCTATACCTGCCCAGTTCCCTCTCCATTCCATTTCTCATTCTTTGTCCCAGCCTTCCTTTTGTTTGCTATTTTGATCACCTTGCATTCCTTGGCCAGTCCAGACATGCTTCAATTTAGGTCCTGGTCCTGGCTGCTGTTCCATCCATATGTAATTTTCTTCCCACAGAGTCATCTCCTTCAGCTCTGGGTTCACATGTCTCGCTAGGGCCTTTGCTAACAACCTCATTTAAATTGACATGATTAATCAGCCCAAACTTATAGGATGCCTTCTCCTTTCCCTGCTTGATTTCTTCCACACTACTCATCACTATTTGATTTGACACACTTTAGATTTCAACTCTATGTTTGGTTACAGCTCTAATCCTTTACTAAAATGTAAAACCTCATGAAGTCAGAAAATCCCCAACTCTCAGAATAATGTCAGGCCCATAAGCCATGCTTGATACTTAATCAAATATTTCCTTTGGCTTTATAATTACCCAAGGGCTGGTTAAAGAGAGTACATTTTCAATATTCTCTCCTCTCAAATAGTTTCACTCCTTTTGCTTTCTTTCAGGTAGATGTACCTCTGGCCCACAGACTATGAAGTCTGGGCAATCCTTGACCTCATATATGCTTCAGTTACCCATGGGACTCTGATTTCGTTTCCTCATTTTGAGAGTCTTACTTACCTCATATATTTCATGGTTTAAGGTCTCCACAACAACATTTTCCCCATTCTGATCAATGTGAATCACAGGCCTCTCAAGCTTCACTCGGTCCCCAAGGAGGTCCATTATCCGCTCACTCACTTGACCAGACCCACCAATAAATTTCCTCTCCTGGAAAGAAAAAAAACAGAATGAAGTTGGTCAATATAGGAGCTAAATGGCTATTTTTTTCCTGGATATCACTACTCTAATGTATATAATGTATATGAAATTTCATTTTATTATTGGGAATTGTTTTACTTATATTATTATTTGGCTTTTTTTGGTTAAATTAGGGGCTACTGCCTTTTGAAAAAATTGTAGGTTTGACTTACTAACTCACATTGAAGTTTATTACTGTTGATTCCAGGCCTCCAAACTGAGCTTAATAATCTCAAAATAATCCTGATTTCCATTTTGCCTGCTTAACACATTGCTCTGAGCTCCATCTACATTCTTTGGCTGGTCCACTGGGCCTAGTAGAACTCTACCTACAGATTATTGTAGTGGTCATGCCTGCAACGGTGGCCACACCCCTTTGGGCATGGCTTCAGGCAGACAGAAACAGAAAGAGGGAAGTGTAAGGCATAAGAAGTGGTCTCAGTTGCCCTGATCTTTCTATTGGATCGACTGATCCAGTAGGAAAGCCCAGTTTGTCCATCATTTTACTGAGTATTATTAATACATGTCCTGTGACTCAGGCTCAGACTCAGCCCTACTCTGTCTTCACTACACTACACCTCCAGCCCCAAGTCAGCTTCCTCTTACTGTAGGTTGGCCTATCTCATCTAGGATCAGATGCCTGTTTTTCCTATGGCCACCAAGGCTATTTCATCTTGCTTGATTTTTCTGTCTTCAGTCCTGCTTCCAAACATTCCAGGGTTTTTAAATTTTTATTTAATTTATAAAAAATCTTATTGTACATACCAATCCCAGTTCCCTCTCCCTCCCATCCTCCCATAGCCCCCATCAACTTCCCATCCCACCCCTCACCCACTCCCCAGGGAGGATGAGACCTTCCATGGGGGATCATCAAAGTCTTTCATATCATTTCGGGGAGGGCTATGCCCTCCTCCTTGTTTCTGGGCTGAAAGGCTTTCCTCCATGGGGACTGGGCTCCTAAAGTCCATTTGTGCACTGGGGATAAATACTGGTCCTACTGTCAGAGGTCCCATAAACTGCCCAGGCCTCCTAACTGGCACCCATATTTAGAGGGCTTGGTTGGGTCCCTTGCAAAGTTACTGAATGGTCTATCTGCCTATGCACACACACACACACTGACTGCTTCTGCATCCTCAATTTTCAGAGCAGTTAATGTAAAAGTCATTCTATTAGCAGTATTAATTTTGTGTGTGTGTGTGTGTGTGTGTGTACATGTGAGTGTAAGAGTGAAGATCAGAGAGTAATTTTGTGGAGCCAGTTTTATCCTCTTCTACCTACCCTGGCTTCAGTTCTTGGGATTAAATTTAGCTGTTAAAGTTTTATAGTAAGCTCTTTTACCTGCTTGATGTCTCTTTATTCCTCCATTAACTTCTTAAAGACTATTTCAAATCAGTCCACAAAGAAGGAAGAAGAGGAGAAAGAAGAAGAGAGGATGGGAGGTGAAGAGGAAAGGCACACGACTAACAAACAGATTAAAAACTTATACCCTGCCTAACAGGGGGCCTTACACAATGTCAAGAGAACAGACATTGAATAAATAAAACCAAGAATGAATTCACATATATGGTGTTGCATTTCAAACATTATTCACTCCTTCCTCTCTTTATTTATTTTTTATTTATTTCTTTTTTGTTAGTAATGGAGAAGGATCCAGAGCCTGGTTCATGCTAAGGAATGTGTTCTATCACTGAGCTACAGCCCAGACTATGGTATACCCTTTAAATTTTAGTGCATTATCCATCTGTCCAGTTTGGAATTTCTGAGGAGCCTAGTCTTAAAATTATGCTGGCCACCTGGATACCTGACAACACATGCTTCTTTCTGAAAGCTACTTGAAACTACCATGGTAATGCATGACCAACCACAAACCTATTTCAAGCATCAGCATCTAGTAATTGCAGAATGACACCGATTTGTGTAGTAGTGGTTTTGTGTTGATACAGTACCTGCCCTCCATTGGTTGTTGAGATGATTCTGGTTGTGCCACCACACTGCTTTACATACCACAGGAACCACAAAGCAGAGACCTCATGGGTCTCTGCAGTGACACACAGGTTCACAAAGAGTGTGGCAAGTTGCTTTGCAGATCTGATCAGAAAGAAATAAGAGAATGATTCGCAAATGTGGGACATAGTCTTCTGAAGGGTCTAGAGTAGGCAAGTTTCTTGTTTCATTGGCTATGTTTAGAACCATTTAGCAAACTTCTGGAATTCACTATCATAAATCATGTGAACATGGACTTGAGAAATATGGTATTTATGTCTCCTAAAACAAAATACCTTGTTCAGAGCTGACTTTGATATCATAGTCTATGTTATCCTTGTTCCTACACACCTTCTAGTATCCCTCAAAATCCTTGTTTTGGTAAAATACGCTCCCATTCACTAAGTGGTTAAAGTCAAGACTCTCAAAATCTTCTTGAATCTCTATCTCTCTCCTCCCATAAGTCCTTAGTGTGTTGTGCATCACATGTTAGTATTCAGGCATTTTCACTGCCCTACTCTGGGGAACCTGGCAACCACTGGCACTCTCTGTGAGCATGCACTATATCTACTTATAAAAAGCAAGTCCCTCCTGCCACTCTCACCCTCCAGAGACCTATTTTGCATCCTTCTTTCATCCCAATAAACCTCCCACATGAATTCTGTTGACTGGTATAACTTTCCTTCCAGCTGCCACTAAACAATAATACTGCATATGTCCAGTGGCCCAAACAGGCGAAAAGAGGGTGTTAGATCTCTTGATGTAGGTGCTGGGAACTGAACCCAAGTCATCTATAAGAGTGGCAATTGTTCTTAACTTCTGAACCATCTCTCAAACCATCTATCCATAGTTTTTGTTGTTGTATGATAAAATTTAATTTATAGAAATAGCACTATAGCTTTCCCATTATGTGTGAAGACTTGGGTTCAATCCTGAGCACCACAGAATCCTTTAATTTCCTGATTAAAGAAATTAGCAATAGCTAATAAGAAAATGAATAATCATAAAAGTTATAAAAATTAAATTTATGTGAATGTTGTCCCTCTCTCCCATGAAGAAAAATGTCCTTTCTGGACAAAGACTAATGATGATGAATTGAAGTTGTAGATAAAGGAGGACAGCTGCATTTCTCTTTGTCAAGCAGGTCCTTTCTTAATCCTTTGTTTGGTTTATTCTGGGGGTTTCATGTAACAAAAAATGAGTTTTACGGCATTTAAGGGAAGAAAGGTCAAGCAGACTAGAGTAATAATATTTTGTAATTTTTGCTTTGTTGACTTTTAAAAAGATAATCATTCTACTAGCTTTCTTACATAAAAATATATACACATTAGATGAGCTTTGGAAATTCATAAGATAAACAATATGAAGAAATAAGTAATTTCCGTATTTGTCACCCAGAAAGCAGTTACAATTCTCATTTCAATGTATTCCTATTTTAGATATGGTTTTTCTCAAACAAAATTGCATATCTATAATCACATATAAAATACACTTTGATCTTCTGAATAGCATTTTATAAATTACAGCTAAGGAAGTGACCACAACAGTAATCTTTGAATGAATGTTTGTCATTTACTTTGAATCAGAATAAAATAAATCAGAAAAAAAATAAGCTAGTTATTCTGGGTGTTGTTTCCTTTAAAGTCAGCAAGCAATCTCATGTGCATCTTGCTTAGGAATAGTTAGAAAATGCCCTGGTTCTTGTTTATATAAATATTTCAACATTCTTTGTTTTGAGTTGAAAACCAAGGGTATTCACTAACTAGAGGCTCTCAGTTCTATCACTTGTGGATTTGAACTTGAAGTCTTGTAATCCCTTCCACTTTCCCTGCTGGAGAAGTGAGGCCTAGGAAAACTGCATACATTTTCCAGTGCTGCAAACAAGAACTTCAGCCTTGACTCAAGTGTTTTCTGTAGATACTATTGACATTACATGCTTTTCACTAATTGGGACACGTAGGTCCACTTACAGGTGTCATCTACAGATGTGAATTACCTAGAAGTTGTTGCCCTTTAAAATATTGAAGAGTTGCACTGTACCATAAAAGGTGTTTCAAATGCCTATGCTATCTACACTTGACCACCAGTGAAGAATACAAAACTAGTCCTACATCAATAACAGTGTAAGTGAGACTGTTAAACCACTGGATATTAAAATGGTCTATGAAAAAGATGGCTCATTCTAGTTTGTTCTGAGCACTTTATGGGATAAATAACACTTTGGTGGTACAAAAATATATCAAAGAAATAAAATATACCTATCTTTAGGGGACAACTTAGTTTCAGTATCTTTCACCTATTCACTTAGTCAGTGGTATAGCATTATATATAAAGCAGATACTTGTTTGCTTCATGTCTGTTAAATAGCATTCCTAAATAAACCCCAAGCATTGTCACAATGAATGCCTTTGCCCAAAGGAAGATCTTACTTGGTCCAGCAGATCTTATCTAGCAACTCTTTCATTGTCATGTAGTCCCACTCTTCTGCAAGGGGTGCCTTCCATGGAGCATCACTGGGAATCTACATTGAGATTCATTAAAGAAGAAAGAAAAAGACAATTTTCCTGACAAGTAACTATTTGAATAATATTAAAAGCTCTAACTCACAGAAAAAAAATAAGATTTAGTTTTTCCAAGTATCCCTAACAGCTTCTTAAATAGCACAAATCTCTTTGTCTGTGTAGCTCTTCTGTCACAAACCTATAACACCCTGTTTATAATAACTTTCCTTTCGAATAAAGATATTTATCCTATGCAAATATATCTACAATAAAATTTAATTATTATACTGTACAGAGCAATATATTAACAATAACAAAAATGTTTCTGAAAATGTATTGTAATAATTTATGTGAATGTTGTCTCTCTGAAATTTTCTTTTTAATATTTTCCAACTTCAGTTGGTCATAAATAATGACAATCATGGAAAGTGAAGCTACAGGTAAGAGTAATTAAGTTAATGACTTACAAAGATCACTCACAAATTCAACTCTTTAACTAGGATCCAAGAACTGCAGCTAATCATCTGAAAATCAGAGTTTTCAGTTAAAGCTTCCATGTATTTACTTGGGAGCTGCAAGTTTGGGTGTGATGGAAAAATCAAAGAACCATGTAAGTCATGGGGATTTTCTAAATTAAAAATATCATCCTAGAAAGGATGAAGGCTTCATACTTCTCTGCTTGCTCATTAATTGTATACAAATTACAGTCTTTCTGATAGCTCATTCTTTTAGAAGATAGAAATAAATTCATTCACTCATTTCACTGATATTTGGTGATTGGTAGTGTGTACTGGGCACCATGCTATGTGTGTGGGATGACTGACACTTTGTAGCTTTTTGTCTTCTGAGGACTACTAAAAAAAAAAACATATGTAATCAAAACAACTTTAGGAAGTGTTACCTCTTCCCCCATCTCATCCATTGTCCTCCAGAGATTGTTATGATCTAGGTAGGCGATTGGATTCCACACTGGTGGGAATGGGCCCCTGAAGGCATATGGTTTTCCCTGTGAGACACATATGTTTAGAAGGAAACATTTACAAGAGCATAAATCTTGTTAAATCTGCTATGTTGGCAATTTTTCTTTTACGAGCAAATCATTTTAGCTACTAGTATGTTACTGACCAATATCTAAAACACACTCAAGTCATTTTGCACTTGTATCCACAGACTTCTGTGATGGGAGATGTCATTCTCATACTGGTTAATAAATAAAGTACTGTTGGCCAATAGGAAAGGAAGATAGGAGGGACTAGGAGACAAGGAGGAATAGGAAGTAGGGAGGAGGAGTCAAGATGGAGAGCCTGAAGAAAGCAGTATGCCGCCGGCTCCCGGGTAAGAGAAATACTTAGATCAGCAGAAATGGGTTAATAATTAAGGCAGAGCTAGCCAATAAGAAACAAGTAACCAGGCCAACAGTATAATATCAAATACAGAGTCTCTGTGTGTTATTTGGGGCTGGCTTGGCGGCGGGACAAGACCAGGCGGCGGGCGGAAAAAACCGTACTCGTTACAGATGGTGCCCAACGTGGCTAATAAGAACTTCCACTTAAAATTTAACAGAAGCTTAAAAAGGGGGTGTTAGAAACAAAAGAACACAGACAAGCAAGGTTCTTGGTAGCAGCATTTTTCTCGGTTGGTATCTGCTTTGTGAGAGACAAGCAGATATTTACGCGGCTCCTTTAAGGGAGGATTCCTGACTCAGCATAAGCGGCAAAAACCCGAAAGGCTTTTAAATAACTCTGCTAACTATTTATTGGTGTGCATGAGAGATGGCAATGGCAGTGACCACATCTCCAAGCCGGCAGCATGCCTGCTGGATGGCAGTGTTGACCAGGGCAGTGACTACAGCTTTCATTGCTGGCGGTAAAGGTACCCACTGCCATCTTTGATAACCGCAGCAGAAACAACAAAGACTTTCATTTTAACAATGTTGTTGTTTAACAGATAAAGACTCATGGCCAGAAAAAGATAAAGATTTACAGTAAAGACAGATTCATATGAAGAAAAACATCTAAAGGTTTGCAATTTCTTTTAAAAAATACATAGGCTTGGAAAAAACAAACAAACAAACAAAAAAAAAAACATGGTTTTAAAAAGACAGAGAACCACGTAAAGATGAAAAGCTCAGAGAGAATCTGGTTACTGTATGCTATTGTGTTGTCTCTGCATTGTTTGACTGCTGAGAAAATAACAACTGATAAGGAAATGCTGCTGAATTAATTCAATTTATATATTTTAAAAATGCTTTGACTCAAAAATGTAAGTTCAAGGACAAGTTACTGGGGAAAAGGATTTCTATTTTTGTTTCCACATAAAATAAAAAAGCTATGGATTCCTTCCAGACTAATGTGGTTTGAGCAAGCCAGACCCCCTGAAACAGAGTTTCTGAGGATCCAACATTCAAAAGAGCTTGAACAAGGCAGACTTGCAGACTACAGCCAGGATTTCTGCATCTTCTTAGGATCCCCATGACAGCGCCCCCTATCAGCAGGAAGTAGTTTGGAAAGAACAACGCCCAAATTCCCAAATATTGTTTATAAATGTTTGGTTTCATTTAAATGGACTTGGTTATAAATGGGTAATGATCACAGCCAATTATTTTTAAAGGTAAAAGGGGAATTATGGTATTGATATGATTACTTTGTTTTGGAATGGATTTTCATTTATTGATACAATTTAAGGTCAATTTTGTGATGTTTATATTTCTCCTTTTGCTTAGGTATTGTGTTTATATAGCTCAGTTAGAAATGTAGTACAGATTATAGATAATTACCTATGATAGTCAAAGCTTAGAGTTAAGTTAGTTAGGTTTTTCAAGATACATTTGAGATAGATAGGCATTCTTCAAACCTTTCAAAGACCTACAGAATATGGCATTTAAAATGGCTTAGGGTTTTTCTTGACAGTGAGTCATAATTGCTCTTGGCAATACCACCTGCACCAGAAAGGAAGATGGACATTAAAGAAACTCGTTATGGAGTTTGCCTCCAATATGGCAAGACTAGCCATTTGAACAAGATACTCCTCTTGTCTGGACTGTTTGACTTTGTGATGTATAAACTGGACATGCAGGACCCACAGGAAAGTGACTCCTGATTCAAGATGGACATTGCTACAGAGATCCTGCTTCATGGAAGAGTCTGCGAGACAGTATGTAGGACACGGAGAAAAGTGACTGACAAACTGCCAATACAAGAAGACAGTTTAAAGTTTCCTGCTTTACTGGAGAGTCTGCCAGACATACTATGGCCTATGGGCTGAAGATGGAAGATTACAGAAGAACTTTGGGTAACTTAAAAGGCAAGATGTCTCTGTCATTTCTAGAGCTTATATATTATCCTTCTGTGGTCTTTGAAGGAGTTGAAGACAGATGGTTATGGTTATAATTTTCATTAGTTAGGATTAAAGATAAGTTACTTAGACTTTAGACACACAAAGAATAGATGATGGAATATTTTCTTCAAATCTTGCTAAATGTTAATGGACTAAATATTGTTAACTGTGATTCTTACTTGATAACTGTTGTATAATATATTTTGCTATGTTAAGGTTAAAACCCTTCTTTTTATTTAGACAGAAAAGAGGTGATGATGGGAGGTGTCATTCTGTATATGTTTCTCATACTGGTTAATAAATAAAGCACTGTTGGCCAATAGGAAAGGAAGATGGGAGGGACTAGGAGACAAGGAGGAAGAGGAAGTAGGAAGAAGGGGAAAAGATGGAGGGTCTGGAGAGAGCTGTATGCGGCAGCCGGCTCCCGGTAAGAAGACCACATGGAAATACATAGATTAACACAAATGGGTTAATACTTAAGACAGAGCTAGCCGATAAGAAAGTAGTAACTGGCCAACAGTATAATATCTAATACAGAGTCTCTGTGTATTATTTGGGGCTGGCACGGCGGCGGGACAAGACTGGCGGCGGGAGGAAAAACCCATACTCCTTACACTTCTGTTCAGTTTTGGCATAGAAATCTCCAGTAAAATCTTCTTTCAAACAAATAACTTTGGTGGCATGCTACAGAGTAAAGAGGACTGTCTCTGAAATTGGGACCCTTACCATATAAAATCTAAATGCCAATACAGAACAACTACCAAAAAGTATCTCTGTTGCCAATAATATTTCTACATAGCTTAGAATCAGGAGCCATTGTGTACATAGGGAATCAGAGAATTACAATTATAAACACAATACAAGTTAGAAGGGGTGAGAAACCACATGTTCATAGTCAGGGGAAGGACAAAACAGAACCCAGCTTGCTCTTCCTGAGAGTCAGAAGTCTAGATATACTCAGGAGTCTTCAGAGAAATGAAACAACCCCAGGCTTCCCGTATACTTTGACATAAAGACATAGGAACACAGCCCCATAAAATACTGACAATAAGACAATATGCCAGTCCCACTTGGGAGGCATAACTTGCTGATGACAGTTAAAGGATACATACCAAACCCACTTTGGGTCTATTTTAAAAACTGGGTCAGAAGTCAGACTATGCAATATGACAGCATCCTTCAACTGCATCAGGATAAACTTCCCAGTAACTCTGAGTCATTCAGCAATGGCGCATCTTGTACTGATTTGTAGCCAAAGAAACTGAGAAGCAGAGTGGGAAGAGGTTTCATGCTAATTCTTGTGTTAATTCTGTGACCATCTTGGTCCTTTTTTCCTTCATAGGCCATAAGAGTCAGAAAGAGGAAAGAGCTCTCAACAAGAAAGAGGCAGATAGTTACAGACAGGGGAGCTCATGTGAGGAGGACAGCCTATAGTGTAGGCCAGACACTTGGGAAAAAGACATACAAATTCAAAGGCAGCACATTAGTAGAATTTCCTTTTCTCCAAAGTCTCATTATTTTTCCTTAAGTTCCAGGGAGGAAGAGATAATTATTTCAGAAAGGGAGACCACCTAGTCTCATTCTTGAGCTTGACCTGGAAAAGGAGGGCAGACAAGTTTTATGCCAGAGCAGAGTCACCCTACAAACCATGACCTACAGATAGGATTTACGCTAATGACTGCAGCCTGTTCCTCCTACATTCACTTTCTACAGAACACCTAGTGAGACTTCTCAGCAACCCTTTCCTCCTCTGTCCAAGGAAAGCATCTTTGCATAGAATGTGTCAGGTGGGGGTGAAACATAGAGGTGCTGGCAGGTCTCTTACAAGATTTTGTTTGACACACTGCAGCTCAGAGGTTCAGGTGAAATATGAGCCAAGATAAGGTATGGGGCTTCCCAAACCACAAGATGTAAGCAAGGTGATGGTGACAGAGGCTCAGGGCCAAAGTGATCGTAGTCCAAGGGCATTCTTATAAAGGGCCACAGTTAGAAGTAACAATCTGTATGAACAGACTAACAAATAATAAACATACCAAGAAGAACACCAAGCTGAAGAATACACATGCTTTCCTTTCCTTTTTCTTTGTTTCTTCTTTCTTTCTTTTTAATTTTTAGTTTATTTATTTATTTATTTAGTTAGTTTGGTTTTTCGAGACAGTGTTTCTATGTATAACATCACTGACTGTTCTACCACTCTCCTTTGAAACCAGGCTGACCTCCAACTCACAGAGCTCTACCTGCCTCTACCTCCCGAGTGCTACCTTGAGGCTTACACATGCTTTTCTTATTCATGACTTTGTTCACAGTACTCAGCATCTTATATCTAAGCAAATAATGATTTTGCTTAGCGGGATTCATAAAAGCAAGTATGCTTTTATAAGATGAGGAAAAGTTTCTTATAAACACAGGAAAGAGCTATTGTTGGACTCAGTAAAAAAAAATCTCAACACTTTAAGCTTCAAGGAATAAGCAAGAGAGGGAGGAAATGGAAGTTTATAAAATCAAACAGTCAAAGGCACTGCAAGAAGTTTGGAGCTCAGGTTTGGCTATGATATAAACAGTCCTGCAATTGTTACTGTTTTGAACATTGTCCAAGGCAGCCTGTCCTTCCAAAGAAATCATGAAAAGACATCATAATAAACCCCCAGCTCACAAAGCAATGCAAAAATG